AGGGTCACATGACAAGAACAAACCAATGGGAAACAAGACACATGACTAAGACAACCAATCAGAACATGACACATACACAAGGCAGAGATACATGAGGGCAAGGGAAGCATGACACTAACAGCAGGAAACAATTACAAAATAAAAGACATGGAAAACATGAAACACAACCCAAACACCAAACCCCACAGTGGTGCAGGCAGAACGGGCAGCCATGGCGGTGCAGGCAGAGCAGGGCGGCCGGGTGATGACGGCAGAGCAAGAAGCCATGGCGGAGCAGAGACATGGACAGACCACTTGACTGTGACGGAGCAAGAGACATGATGTGGGCAGGCTTTGGCTTGGCAGACATGATGTGGGCAGGCTTTGGCTTAGCAGACATGATGTGAGCAGGCTTTGGCTTGACTGGCGTGACGTGAGCAGGCTTAGGCTTGACAGGCATGACGTCAACAGATTTTGGGGAAGTGTCATGTTCCTCCTCCATGACACCCACAGTGAAAGCAGACCCACTCAACCGCAATCCAAAGTCTATGTACTGTTCAAGTGACCAGTGTGGGGTATTACGTGGCATTAAACGTGGCATGTCCTTAAACCATAACGGAAAATGTCTTTTAGGAACGTTTCATTAAAATCTACCTGGTGACAAAGCCCACAAAAGTCCTCCACATACTCCTCAATGGAACGATTACCTTGATGGAGGCGAACAAGATGATCTGATGGGTTAATTTTTTCGGTCATGTATTCTGTAACGAATCAATCCACTGAAGGTGAGTTGAAGTGAGAACCCAAGTGCAGTTTATTTACAAGTGATCCAAACATCCAAACGATAATCCGAGACTTGACATAGTTTCGCTTTCACAACGAAACACACAGCGCCTTCGTGACATGGCGGCGGCGGAAACAACAATACTACAGCAAGAATAAAAGTTACGCCTTCTTTCGTTGCGTGAACATTTGGGAGGCGTTATGCAAATCTTCCCACATCGTGACGTAGACATGTGGGGGCGTGTTAGAACGAGCCGTTTTAGGTAGGCGTGGTTAACTCTTAACTTTTATAAAGAATATCTCTTTGGATTTGAGACTTTAGTCTTTGCAACTTTACAGATCTTCTTTATGCACCAAGAGCTTGTAACACTTCATCATATGACCCCTTTAAATTGTGACAATGCATACAAACTATTTCACAGTGCCACTCTTCGTAAAATTGAGCAAACATTTTAGTGAAATAGTGTTTTTCCCTCAGTCTGGATAAAAAGCATTTACCAGGTTCGATCAACCATTTCTTTCAGAAATGCCTAATCATAAACGCACGGGGGCAGCAAACCCCTGCAATTAGAGCACAGCTCGGAAATATATTATTTGTGGCCTTCTTAAAAATGTAACTTTAATTTAAATCATACAATATCAATATTCATATAAAATCATTATTATTATTTTTTTTAGAGTAAATTTTCTTTTATTTGTTATTTTTTTTACTTTCCACTACCTATCTATTTCATACGATATTTCATATCGTATTTCATTCTTTGCATATGACATGAAAAGTTATAGCCTATAATGTTCTGTGTTCAGACTCTACAAAATAAAAGTAAAAACAACAACAACAATTCAATCCGTAAAAGAGCTATGTATCAAAGCGGTAAATGTGGTCATGATATAAAAGTGTAAATCATTTATTTCATACTTAGAAATAACTATTAATTCTATTTAAATTAATATTATAATATTAAGAAAAATCTAGGCTTTATAACAATATACATTTGAATGAATTAATAGCTTGATTATTATTATTATTATTATTATTATTATTATTATTATCATCGTTATTATCGTTATTATTATTATTATGCGGAACATAGAACATTAAATCTAACTTTACAAGGTAAAGGCAGCAAAAATGCGAAATTACGTTTGAACAAAGAAGGTAGTGAAAAGTAAAAAAAGGTTAACTAAAAACAAAATACAAAACTATATAAAACTAATAATTATAGAGAAATATATTGGACTATTTGAATTTAAATTTTATTTTAAGTATTACGATTTATAAACAGGAAGTGGAATGGTTACGTATGCCGGTAGGTCCCGCCTCTTCCGACACTATCAGTGATGTAAACTGCTGCTTGCAGAGCATACTGACTACAGCTGATAAACATATAATATAAATATTATGATCATGGTTATGACACTCGACAGCTAATCTCTGACTGTATAATGGCTGAATCTCCGGACAGTCGCAGTCTTGTTTCTGCGTCCTCACAGCTCAATTTAATGGAAATAGAGGCGGTAAGACTTGACTTGAGATTGACTGCTTCAGTTTTTGTCTGTATGGTTTTGTTTCATTTGGTGCATTACAAGCTTCGTGTTGTTCTTAGTGACATTTTACTAATGCTGCGTTTAAGATCAGTGCGTGTAATATGTGCTTGTTTCTCATAGTCAATGAGTTCGTGATCTGTGTAATATGTTTTTGTAAATGTGAATGGTTTGTGCATGTAAAGAATTGCACATTATTTTGTATGTACCTGCAGTATTCACCTCGAAAAATGGCAGTCATTGCGAACAGAGTGTTACTTTGATAAGTTACATGTATGATTTAATATGAAGGACGTATTTATCTGTTAGATTGATGATAAAGAGTTTGACATTCCTCAAGTGGACACGCCTCCGACCCTAGAGAGCATCCTGAATGAGGTCAGTATGTCAGGTTATCATACTTCCACAGTCATCTTACAGCACCCTAGAGATGGATTAAAGTTGCAGATATACCAGTCATCCTACTTAGTTTTTATTACGAGTATTTTCTACAATTCAGAATAGTAGTAAAAGTCATAAAAACTATGAAATAACATGAATGGAAGTAGGAGAATTATATTATAAACTAGCCTAAATATTGTCCACTCATCCATTAAAATGGTTTATAAAGAAATTCACATGTAGACACATGTAGACTTGTTAAAAAATTTGGGGTTGGATCAGTTTTTGAAAGTCTCTTGCACACCAAGTCTGCATTTATTTAATCAGAAATACAGCAAAAACAGTAATATTGTGATATATTATTATTAGAGTTTAAAACAACCATTTTTTGTGAATATACTGTAAAATGTAATTTATTCCTGTGATGCAAAATGTTCAGAAGCCATTACTGTTTCACTTACTCCCTCAGAAATCATTCTAATATGCTGCTTTGCTGCTCAAGAAATTTCTTATTATCATCAACATTGAAAACAGTTGTGCTGCTTCATATTTCTGTGGAAACATTTTGTTTTCAGGATTATTTGATGAAAAGAAAGTTCAAAAGAAAAATATTTATTTGAAATAGATTCATTTTAAATGTCTTTACTCTCACTTTTGGTCAATTTAAAGCATCCATGTATTAAAGAAAGTATTAATTTCTTTAAAACAACTTACTGACCACAAAATTGATAATGTGTTTATCTACAAAACTAATGACAAGCATTTAAGCACAAGTATTTAGTCCACGATTATCTAAACTCAGTCAAGTGTTCAGTCCAAGCGTTTTTGCAAATATACTTTGTCATGCAGTACAATGAAAATACCATAGTACTTGTATATGGTAATCTTTAAATACCATGGTATTACCATCAATACCGTGGTACTATCACAGTACTCTTTTTGTAAGAGCAGTGATAGCGATAAACGGCTTTTCATATTGTTTGAATGGTAATTTTTACAAATGATCTTGTATCCATTCTTTTAACATCTTTTAATTCAGCAGACATTTAATTTATTCATTCATGATGCTTTAATACAAATGAGGTACACGGCGAGCAATTTATCATAAAAGCAAATTATTTTTTCTAATACACAATACCAAGTTTCAAGTACAAGCTAGATTACTAACTAGAGCAGAAGTGAAATGCACAAAGGTAGAGAGCGAGAGAGAAAACATTAAATTATAGAAAGTGTTTATGACAGTAAATATTTTGGTTTTCAACACTCCTGTTTTCAGCCTGAAGAGGAGGATGAGCCATTCATTCTGGAGGACACGTGTCTTTTGAACACAGAGAACATTGATGCCCACTCGTGTGAAACCTCATCTCTGGCCAGCTCTGACAGTGGAGACCGCACACACTTAAAGAGGAATGGACACTTTCTTAACCTGGCTACACATTAACAGCGCTTGCTCTGTATTGATGTTGTGATGAATGTTTGGTGATTGAATAAAGTCTTTTCTTTTCAGTAATTAGTCTGTGTATGTTCACCTCAGGAGGAGGAAAGCAGTGGAAACTAATGCTACAGTACATGGATCTGTTCTTAGACGCAATCTGCTGAAAGGCATCTCGGCTCAGATAGTATCAGCTGCGGTATGACCAATAATACTTCATCTATTGCTTGTGCTATACTATGCAAAGCTATAATAGTAAGTATGCTGTGTGTAAATGTTTTATGTATATGATAATGATTGTGGGTAATGTAAATACATTAAATTATGAAAAGCTACACTTACAGCAGTTATATGATTTTTTTCATTAATTTAATTCATTATTTATTTAATTCATAATTGATTCATTTCATATCAGTATTTAATTAATTTACATTTCTTTCCTCAGATTAAATTCAGACTTTGTCAGTTCAGTTGGCAATGGTGCACAATCATGCTTTAATAATTCAGAGCTATAAATAACAGCTATAAATTGAGAGCTATAAATAAGAGACTCTTCCAACAGAAATTTCTTCTATTCCAATGAAATTGTGTTGCTCACTTTATAATTTGGTGATTTTACTCTTTCCATCTCTCTTCAGGATAAAGTTGATGCTGGCTTGCCAACGGCAATAGTGAGTATTTGACTTTCTTGGGATTTTTAATTAATTGAAAAAAAAAAAAACCCTTACATGTCTGAAGTGCTTTTGTGTTTGCAGACTGTTTCAAATGTGATCGCTGTAGGGACGTCACATGGTCTGGCCTTAGTATTTGGTAAGCATGTTTCAGTTCTCATGTTTCTGTTGTGGTAAAGTTGATAAAGGGCACTTCAGTGGAGTTTATTTTAGATTTTTGGAAGGGATGTTTTATGTTTAATCATAACAGTCTGTCTAGAACTTTGTTTATCACAGTGCTTTATTAATATGTAAGGCAAAAATGCAGTATTAGAATTCTTTATGTGCACTACTGTAATAGTATTTGTCAATGAGTGTATTTTAAACGACTCTGGGACTATCTCTCTGCCTTGGCTTGTCTTGGGTGGAATATTCAGGAAAAGGTAATGTATTAATATAGTGCAAAATCTGTTAATACCACAATTTTTTTCCATTGCATCATGTTTAGCATTGCGACACAATGCCCATTTCACACTGGACATGTAAACAGAGCAGAAGCGGCAGTCACTGTGCTTTCACACTGGCAGTGTTTCTAGTGCGCAACTGAACCACAGCTGATTGTGTTGACCCCCAGCTATCATCAGTCTGTCATTGTGTTCCCCCCCACACCATAACCATATAAGATGTTAAATCATGTAGCATGCTGTGTACTGTAGTGTAGTTCATACAGTATGGTAACAATTTAAAAAATATATATTTCTATTTAAAATTTTTGGTAATACTTTATTTTAAGGACCGATTCTCACTATTAACTAGTTGCTTATTAGCATGCATATTACTAGCATATTGGCTGTTTATTAGTACTTATAAAGCACATAATAATGCCTTATTCTGCTTGACCATATTTTCGATCCCTTAATCCTACCCCATACCTAACCTTTACAACTACCTTACTAACTAATAATAAGCAGCAAATTAGGAGTTTGTTCAGGAGAAACCCTTAGTTAATAGTGAATATGTGATCCCTATTTTAAATTGTAACCAAATAATTTAAATATGCATTGTCAACATCAGTGCTCGATGTAGGCTATTAGGTTTCCACTTGAATATTTGCTGTTATGATGGGTTTTTTCCCAAAACTTTTTATTTAAAGAAACAAGGAGAGTCCATGGATTATTATAACAACTAAAATAATGATAATTAAAACTTAAATGATCAAATTTTAGGATTCCAGGAGTTTTAAAAACTCAATATTCTTCGGGGTTTTCACTTATTTTAACCAGTGAATTTAGATAGATTTTTCAGTTTAAATATAAATATTTACTGTACGTATATAAAAATATAAGATATTACTTGACAAACTCTAGAAATCATACTTTTAAAATTAGGCAGCCTCATATATCCAGGCATTTCAAGATTGTGCGATCCATGTTTCTTCAAAGGAAGGAATACATACACAGGGCTCGACATTAAGCCTTGACATGTGCTTGTCCTTCGGACAGGTAAATTAGTCATTCACCTGTCCGAGTAAAAAAGTTACTTGTCTGGGGGGAAAAAAGCCTTTTTTTTTTGGTGTAAATGTAATCCATTCTGAAGCAATAGTCTCATCAGTGCTCTATCAGGTCTTACTTTAATTAGCATATTTGTGATATTTGCCTTAAAAGGGAAGTCGTGGCCTAATGGTTAGAGAGTCGGACTCGTAACCCAAAGGTTGTGAGTTTTAGTCTCCGGTCTGGCAGGAATTGTAGGTGGGGGGAGTGAATAACCAGCGCTCTCTTCCACCTTCAATACCACGACTGAGGTGCCCTTGAGCAAGGCACCGAACCCCCAACTGCTCCCCGGGCGCCGCAGCATAAATGGCTGCCCACTGCTCCGGGTGTGTGTTCACGGTGTGTGTGTGTTCACTGCTGTGTGTGTGCACTTAGGATGGGTTAAATGCAGAGCACTAGTTCCTAGTATGGGTAACCATACTTGGCCACATGTCACTTCACTAAATTGATTTCTAGGACACTTTTTAAACATTATAAAGGGCAATATTTTCCTAACCTTGTTAAATGTACGTGTCATCATTTACGTCAAATTCTTAAATGTTATCAATACATTCAGTTAGAATAATTAGACTCTGTATGGTTGTTACCATTCAAATGAAATCAGTATCAACAAACTCCATCTTTCCACATTAGGAAACACTGAAGCTGCATCGAAAGTGCCATTTACTGTAGATGTATTTACACAGACTGTTTAATGAAGATAAGAAGTTCCATAAATGCATTTACACAGTAAAATTGCAAATGCATAAATAATGTTATAAGAATAAATGATTCACTTTTTTTAACATATAAATAAGAAATGTTAGAAAAATGCAATGATAGGCCTACTTTTAAATATGAAACCAAACCACCAGTAGGTGGCGGCAAGTCACTGTCTTAATGAGTGAGTCATTGATTGATTCAACCAATTCGTTCAAACGGCTAATTCATTCAATAAATAAAGCAAGTGACTGTCTTTATGAATGGCTCATTGAATCATTGACTCACCCGATTTGTTCAAAAATGCTGAATCATTCAGTAACGAAACACTACTGTGTGTTGCTCGGAGATGCGCGACTGTTCTGCCGTGGCTAACTATTTTTGTTAGCAAAAACGGTCAATAAAGTGTCTAAAATGTAAGTCAGTTAATATTAACTTCTTGTTTATTGAACTACTGTTGTATAAAATCAGTGTCACATTTGCAATCGTGCTAGTGCTTGGTCGTGCGATGTTGCTTACCGATATCATATGTTATATAGAATATTTATCTTTTTTTTCTTCCGCACTATGTTTGTTTCTTTTTATGTGCTGATGCGCCTATTAGTTTTGATTTCTCTGTGAGTCAGACAGGCTGCACGAGCCTCAACTGATGCAAGCCTGATACTGTCAATACATTATCCATCATCAGTCACCGTTTACACTGAAAGTAATAAAATCAGAATCGTTCTTACCAAAGTTTCAGTGCTGCCCTAGTTATTGTTTGTTATTGATGTTTTAATCAGGTTACTTGTCCGGTCGGGCAAGTAAAATTCTATTGCACTTGCCCCTTCACAAAATCCACTTGTCCCGGACAAGCGTTAATGTCGAGCCCTGCATACATACATCAAGTTTTGTCATATTTTAAACAATTTGATGTCATCTTGAGGCCCTTGGAAGTTTGCAGAGGCACCCTACTGGACCCAGGACCCCTTTTTTGAGAGCACTGCAGTAGACACAACTTGCATGCTTTTATGCTTCTTTTTCATGTTAACGCATGTGTATTTTGGCCAGGAACAGTGCAGTGTCACTTTAATTCAGTGTGAACAGCACAGCAAGAATAGGAATGATCACAGCACTGCTTCAGCTACACAGTGCTGTGCTGTCTCATCTTTCAGTGTGAATGCTCTAACCTGTTAACATGGGTGCAGAAAAAAAGATGTGTCTATGTATCTGCTTATGTGTCTAGTGTGAAATGGCCTAAGAGCATGCTAAACCATTTAAAGCATCGTTTTTTTTAATAGAAAGATATGGGCTGAGATGTTTGCTATGGCTGTTTGCACGCTCTTCGTCTGTTTGTGTTTTGCTTGCAGCTGCATTTGGAAGTATTGTTATAAAAACAAACCACTGTGTGTGTAATTTTTTTAATGATGTTGTTGATAAAGTTTAAAGGACATAATTGTTCCATAATCTGCACTTAATGCTGTTTTGTCTAATTGGTATATTTTGATTTCAGACCAGAACCAGGCTCTGCGTCTCTGTCTGGGCACCACAGCGACAGGAGCGGAGTATGGGGCGGTGTCAGCTCTCAGTATTAATCACGATTGCACACGACTGCTTTGTGGCTTTGCCAAAGGACAGGTGAGCAGCAGCAAACCCTTAAAGGGGTCATATGATGCTATTTTAAAGATCATTATTTTGTGTATTTGGTGTAACAGAATATGTTGACATGCTTTAATGTTCAAAAAACACATTATTTTTCAAATACTGTAAATTATTGTAGGTCCTCTATGCCCCGCCTCTCTCAAACACTCGTTTTCAACAAAGCCCCCTCCTTTGACAAGCGCAGTCTGTTCTTATTGGCCAGCTGAACCAGTGCATTGTGATTGGCCGAACACCACAAGCACGCGTCGGAAATGTAACGCCCCTTACCATAATCAAGGAAAACTTGAAATCGCATCATATGACCCCTTTAAACTCACAGGCAATTTTGATGGCAGATAGCTTATTCATAATGATCAGGTCAGGTCAATGTATGTAAAGTGTCATTTTATTCCTAATGCAGATCACCATGTGGGATCTGGCCAATGGGAAGCTGCTCCGCACTATCACTGACGCCCATCCACCTGGCACTGCCATACTACATGTGAAGGTTATGCACTGTACTTATGTATGTACTTTACATGCTTTGTTGTTCATTGCCATTGAATAAAGCACTTTTCTCTCTTTCTTTCCACAGTTCACTGACCACCCGGCGCTAGCTGTGTGTAATGACAGTGGCGGATCTGTGTTTGAGCTGTCATTCAGGTGAGATGTACTTCAGCTTAAACATATCTTGAATTGTATAAAGCACATTTATAAGGCACATTTATAACATTGTAGTACAGATAACTGGTGTGTAGGGGGCAGTAGAGCCTCATGCATCTGACCAGGGATCCTCAAATCTGGCTTGCAAGATCCACTTTCCTGCAGAGATTAGCTCCAACCCTGATAAAACTCACCTACCTGTGATTTTCTAATGATCCTGAAGACATTGTTTAGCATGCTTAGGTGTGTTTGATTAGGGTTGGAGCTAAACTCTGCAGGAAGGTGGATCTATTTTATTTACTTATAAAATAAACTTTAGCTGAAATAAAATAACATGAAGATGTTAACTTATTTTCTTTCATAAAACTAAATTAATGAAAACTAAGATTGAAAATTGTACAGACATTAAAAACAACAAATTATTAAAAAATATTCAACAAACCCCCCCCCCTAACAAAATAGAAAGCAACCTGTTAGTGAGCTAATTTACATAAATGATTAAAACTAACATACAGATAAAAATATCCACTTATTTTGTACAGACATTAAAAACAACAAATTATTAAAAAATATTCAACAAACCCCCCCCCCAACAAAATAGAAAGCAACCTGTTAGTGAGCTAATTTACATAAATGATTAAAACTAACATACAGATAAAAATATCCACTTATTAAATCAAATTAAAAAAACTAATTAAATTTGTCAGTTCTACTTCAAATATCTATGATTTAAGAGTAAACATTTTCCTATATTCTGGTATTGCTCCATTAATTCTTTCTGTTGACTACAA